CGGGAGAGGAGGGAGGAGAAACCATGAGGGGAGGGGAGGGGAGGAGAGGAGAGGAGGGAGGAGGAGGTCGCCGGAGAGGAGGAGGAGGTCGCCGGAGAGGAGGAGGGTAGTATGGTGGAGGAGAGAAGGGCAGATGGACTGGAGGAGTGGAGGAGAGGTGGAGTGGAGGAGAAGAATGAAGAGGTAAGGAGGAGAGGACACGCCCAACCATATATACGGCATAGTAATGGCGCACCGTGGGCAGGTGCGCCATTACTATTTTTTTTATTTTTTTGATTTATTTTGAATTTTGAAGGCGGGAAGATAGTAATGGCGCACCATGGGCAGGTGCGCCATTAGTAAGTTTGAATTTTTTTGAATTTTTTGCCTCTCCAGATCTTAAAAGCCCCGTATCTTTTTTTCTGTTAGGTTTTTGAGAATTTTGAAAATGTTTAACGGGGTGTTTTTGATGTATTCATGCCATGTTTATAATATTTTTACATGATTTTGGTATGATTTGGTTAGAAGTAACCCGGACTGACGCTGTTTTCAACAGAACTACTGTGATGTTGTTTTTGGGTAGAAATAAAAGTTCTCGGAATGCGTTGAAAATCAGCGGAGAATATTTATGAAAAAAATAAAAAATACTAGAACGAAAAGCTACCGGAGGGGAGTCTCGAGGGCACCAAGAGGGTGTAGGGTACCCCCTAGGCGCGCCCCCTGCCTCGTGGACTCCTTGTCGGGCCCCCTGACGTGAAACTGACGCCAACCCCTCCTATAAATCCCCAAACTTCCAGAACAAAACCTAGATCGGGAGTTCCGCCGCCGCAAGCCTCTGTAGCCAGCAAAAACCAATCAGGACCCTGTTCCGGCACCCTGCCGGAGGAGGGATCCATAACCGGTGGCCATCTTCATCATCCCGACGCTCTTCATGATGAGGAGGGAGTAGTTCACCCTCGGGGCTGAGGGTATGTACCAGTAGATATGTGTTTGATCTCTCTCTCTCTCTCTCTCGTGTTCTTGATATGGCAGGATCTTGATG